ACTCCACAGTTAAGCGTACTTAGGCTGGAGTAGTTTCAGGATGGGTGACCTTCCGGGAAGTGATTGTCGGAACTGTGTGAGTGAGGACAAAACACAGGGAAAGATCATGTGGTAATTTGTAGGGTTGGTAAACAAGTCTTTAAAGCCTCCCGGACGTAGCGGACCGGCCGTCGGACTAAAAGAAATACAACGTTTTCCTACGGCCAAAATCGTAGGAAATTGGTAGGAAATAGACGTTTTCTTCGCATTTCCTACGCAGTTTTCTACGAATAGACATTCGTAGAAAACTGGAAGGAAATATACCTTCGAATTTCCTACCAATTTTTTCCTTCGCCTTTCATTCCATTTCTTACGATATTTCCTACGATATTTTTTCTTGTAGGATTTTCGTAGAAAATTTCTTACGAACTTCTTACGACTTTTGTCGTAGGAAATTTCATTCGAATTTCCTACGAAATATATATTTCGTAACAAATGCGTAGGAATTTGGTAGGAAATTTGGTAGGAAAAACCTATGTTTTCTTATAGTGTGGATCCATGGGCCCGAGAGAGGACATGGGGCCTACTTGTAGGGACGGTCGGAGCGTTACACACATGATATTAAACTGAGATAAATTCTTTGTTTCTCTGTGTGTAGTAGAATTGTGAAAATATCGTGTATATATCTGGAAACATTTCAAGAGCAGGTAAAAAAAAAAATTTGTTATGAAATTTTTTTCTTAAATTTCACACTAAATACGGTTTATTATCATTAGTTAGTAAAGTGTATTGAGATATGCATTTATATATAGAACTTACTTTAATATATAATGTAGAAAACTTATAATTTATACTATCTATAAATTTATAAAGATAGCAATTCACCTACGCAAAACCTATTAGATTACAAAACTAGCCCATTATTATACACAACTATAAATGGGAAAGATCTTTGCTCCTTTAAAATAGCTCAACATAATACTTTTAATTGAAAAAGATGGAATGTATTTTGATATTTGGTTTTGTTATAGTATTGTCCTTGATCATTAATGTTCAAGGAGCTATTACCATTGACATAAACCAAGAAGCAAGTTTCGATGAAAACTATGTCGTTACGTGGGGACAAGATCATTTCTTGAAACTCAACCGAAGCAAAGAAGTTCAGCTCTCCATGGACCATTCTTCAGGTCAATTGATTTTTTTTTTCACATTTGAAACAATGTCGTTTTAAAGACTAAAATGTATTGATTTTGTGTTTCTAACACCTAAAGGTTCTGGTTTCGAATCCAAAAACCACTACGGGTCAGGATTTTTTCAAATGAGAATCAAATTGCCGGCAAAAGATTCTGCTGGCATCGTAACCGCTTTCTATGTTTGTATTTTTTTCTTTCCATTTTCATTTACGTGAACTTGAATAATTAAGTACTTTTTTAAGAAAGTCAATTTTCCATATATTGGTATATAGTTGACTTCAAAGGGAAATATCCAAGATGAAGTTGACTTTGAGTTCTTGGGGAACAGAGAAGGGAAACCAATAACAATACAGACCAATGTGTTCACCAAAGGTCAAGGAAATAGAGAACAAAGATTTGTTCTTTGGTTTGATCCAACCGAAGATTTTCATGCTTATGGAATTCTCTGGAACCCATACCATATTGTGTATATTCCCTTCCTTCATGCTCTTCTCATGAATTTCTATAAAAACAAACTTATCAAAATAGGTATATAATTAGATTGGATAAAAAAATTAATTAGAATAATGTGTTAATCATCAAATATATATTGGTATAACTTATAGAGTAACCAAACAAACCAAAAGATGAAAAAGGATATGAATATATGATGTGTAAATAACGTTTTCTATATATCTTCAATATAGACATAATCAATTATGACTTATATGATTAATTACTTTTTCGTAATAATAACACATGTAAAATCTAAAAGTGATACTCCCTCCGTCCCACAAAGATAGATTTTTTAGAAATTTCACATTTTTTAAGAAATAATGTATAATGACAATTTTAACCTTTTAATCATTTAATACATTTTAAAGAATATATTATTTATTATTGTTTAATGAAGGTAAAATAGGTAAACTGTATTAAATTTGACATTGGAAACCCAAAACTTCTATCTTTGTGGGACAAATTTTTTTCCTAAAACATTCATCTTTGTGGGACGGAGGGAGTATGTCATATTATTGGGAATAATACTCATATCTAATAGTTATAATTCATTCTAATAACATGATGAATTGATTATAGGTTTTACGTGGACAATATTCCAATAAGAGTGTTCAAAAACAACAAGAAAGGGATAAGCTACCCATCAAAACCCATGCAAGTGGTGAGTAGCTTATGGAACGGTGAGGCATGGGCAACCGATGGTGGTAAGGCAAAGATTAATTGGGCCTATGCTCCTTTTAAGGCCTATTTTCAGGGTTTTTCTGAATCTGGTTGTCACATGGATGGTCTTAATGATGCTTGTGAATCATCAGTATATTGGTGGAACCTTGGAAAATATGTTGGACTAAGCGTTTCCGAGCAAAAGGCTTTCAAAAATGCAAGAGCCAAGTATATGAATTATGACTATTGTTCTGATCATACTAGATTTTCTGTTCTTCCTGATGAATGTCAATGGAATCAGTAAAATATGTTCAAAAATCATATTCCTTGGATTAATTAATCTATTAATCAATAAATCTATTTATCAAAAGGTATATGTTTTATATTATTATTCATAATGATTACCAAAAAAAATATTATTATTCATAATAACTAAATTATCGGTTAAAAACCCTTTAACAAGAAAAATTAAAACAAAAATTATCGCATGATATTAGATGAAGTGTTTATTGGTTTGGTGATAAGTGTAAAAGTGTCTAAATTAGGAATATAAGCCCAAGCTTCAAATAGTTTCTTTTGTTTTTGGAAAGGAATAGACTCGACATTTAAATACATAGATGTTAAAAAAATTACTGGGAAAAAATCAGTAAAAACAAAAAAGATTGAATATATTATAATCTGAAAAAAAAAAAATTAAAACCAAACCCAAAAGAAAAACTTTAATAGATGACAAAAAAAAAAGAACCCAACTAATTAATTGAAATCAGGTTTTTACTCCGAATAACCATTTGATGTCTTTCTACATTTACACCACCGCCATCTTAGATTGGAACCGACACATAACCTTAAAAGATTGAAGGATTTTTAGATCTTCTTTACTTTAACTCAAACTCAAAGATAGAAGCTGCGCGGTCAACTTCATATAACTAACGAAGAAATTTAAGCGAAGATGTTATACATCTATATATACATTTTTGGATCACAATTAGCAAATAAATCCTGAAGTTGAGAAGTATTTACAATGGCATGCCATTAGCATTAATTATTTAATTTCGAAAATTTAAATCAAATATATTAATTACCAAAAAAATCTTAACATAATATCTTAACCATAACTAATCCTTTCCATAATATCTTAAAGATATTAATTAATTTTGACAAAATCAATTTTTTTAAGTAATTATTTTTTTAAATATATTTATTTTAATGTACATTAATTAAATTATGGTTACTATTCATTATTTGACAAACTCATTTTGCTATATTACTTATTATAAACCAAACTCATTTTGGCTATAAATAATTTGTTTAGTTATAAATTAGATTAACTCCAAAAACACATTATTACCAAATATATAAATATTATTTATGTCTACGGAATAATATGTTATTTTAGATTATTATTATTTCATAAGGTTTCAAATATTATGAATATTTTAACTTTATAAGAATTTTAAATATTATTAATTTTAAACTTATAAGAAATTTAAATATTATAAATATTTAAATTTTATAAAACTTTAAAAGTATCTGTAATATTTCAATTCTATAAAAAACTTTATCTATTAATAACATTTGAACTCTATAAAAATTATAAATATATATACTGTAGAGACAATTTAAAAACAAACTTTTAAATGAACTCTAATTATATGTCTTCTAAATAAAATTATTATTAAAAAGAAAAATAACATGATGTTTAATTTCACGGGACGGGATTATATGGTGTGACGGGTTTGTGTCGATATTAATACGGAACGATATACTACGAGTGAAATCTTAGAATTAACAACCAAAATACAATTATGAAGTTTGGGTCGATATTAAAACTTTTATGAAGTTTCAAGTATTATAAATATTTAAACTTTATAAGAATTTATAAGAAGTTTAAACATTGTAAATATTTTAAGATGATAAAACGTTTAAAGTATTTATAATATTTAAATTTTATAAAAAGTTTATAATATTAATGATATTTGAACTCTATAACAATTAAAAATATATATATATATATATATATATATATATTATGGGAGCCATTTAAAGCAAACTTTTAAATTGACTCAAATTATATATGTCTTTTAAATTAAAATATTATAAAAAAACAATAACAAAATAATGTTTAATTTCACGGGACAGGGTTATATGGTATGACGGGTTTGAATCAATATTATTACGAGGCGGTACTACGAGTGAAATCGTATAATTAACTATCAAAATACAATAAATGCTAAACAAAATAAATTCAACTTAAAATTTCAATTTTTAGTTATCAAAAATCGACCCGCGGGTTTAATGCGGGGTAATATATATAATAAGTACATTTAAATCAAACAGAGCAATAGATAATTTAAAAAAAATTTATAGCCCCGCGGTGTACCGCGGGTTAAAATCTAGTTTAACTATAACTTCATATCGGGTTGACATTTTAATACATAGATGTTAAAATTATTACTGGAAAAAAATCAGTAAAAACAAAAAGAGATTGAATTTATTATGAAAAAATAAATTAAAACCAAAAGCAAAAGAAAAACTTTAATAGATGACCAAAAGAAGAACCCATCTAATTAATTGAACCGACATTTACACATTAAACCAACCGGTTTGGTATATTCCAGAAAGCTTAAACCCTCGACAAATAATGTCGCTTTATGTCGCCTTCTCTTCGTCACCGTATGTGTGAGTTCGCCGACGCCGTGAATTCTTGGTTTTCCGATTTACCATTCACCTCCGACGGCGCATCATTTATCTCCATCTCCACTGTTTACATGTTCGTGAATTGCCTGTTTCTCAGTTATATTCAATCTGGTGAAAACAAGAATCTCCAAGCTCAGAGACACTGAGACTAGATCCTCTGTTTCTGAGAACTTGCTTATCAAATTCTTGTTGCCTCATCCAACCGATTTGAACCAACCGGTCTATTCCGGTTATTGCCTCCCGAAGCAGATCACAGAATGTCATGTTAGCTTTAGGTTATGCCAAAGGAATCGCTCATCGATTTCTCAGAAATCCCAAATGGTATTTCACTATTTCCTCATCAATTTTGTGTCTTTCTTTGTGTGTGTTCTTATAGACATGTTTCTGGGTTTTTTTGCAGGACCTCTGGACTCTTCTTGCATCACAATCAGTCCCCTAATTACTCCATTTATGTAAAGTCAAAACCTTTTCTACAAGTTCCATGTAAATCAGCTTCTTTTGATGTTTTACAAGCTCAGAAACGGAATCTATTTGCGTATGATGGTTTGTTTAGTAGACGTTACTTGAGTAATTCGACGGTAGAGCTAAGAACAGATGATAATGTGGTTAGGTTTGCTTTCAATAATGTCACTGGTAGTGGTAACAATGTTGTGCCTACAAGAAAAGAGAAGAAATGGAAACGGGCTAAAATGTCGAGAAAGGCTAAAGTGAATGAGTTAAGGTTTTATCGTCTTAAGGCGAAAAAGAAGATGAATTCTCCAAACCCTGAAGTCAGGATTCGATATAAGCTTGAAAAGGTTACATCTTTTAATTACTTTACTTTGTTTTGATTATGCTTTCTTGCAAGTTTTGAAAGCGTAGAGCTTCGCATCAGTTCGCTTATGATGTTTGTATATGACTGTGAATCTTTCAATGTTATGTGCTTATGAAGGTTATTCAAAATTTGTTGGTGTGGTTGATTGTGTAGGCCAAGAGGAAAGAAGAATGGTTGATTGAGAAACTGAGGAAATACGATGTCCCGAAGTCACCAGCAGAGCCGTATGATCCAGAAAGTTTGACAGAGGAAGAGCAGCATTACTTAAAACGTACAGGTGAAAAGAGAAAGAACTTTGTACTTGTCGGGAGACGAGGAGTGTTTGGAGGTGTGGTTCTGAATTTGCACCTTCATTGGAAAAAGCATGAGACTGTTAAAGTTATTTGCAAGCCCTGCAACAAACCCGGGCAGGTTCATGAGTATGCAGAAGAGCTTGCTCGGTTAAGTAAGGGCATTGTGATTGATGTCAAACCTAACAACACCATTGTATTGTACCGCGGGAAAAACTATGTAAGACCAGAAGTGATGTCTCCTGTTGATACCCTCTCTAAAGATAAGGTATATTGATGAATCCAGATACTTGATGTTTGGCTGTTTGTTTATTGTCTGACAGAAGTAAATGAAACTGCAGGCTTTGGAGAAATATCGGTATGAACAATCGCTTGAACATACGAGTGAGTTCATAGAGAAGCTGGAGAAAGAGCTTGAGGAGTATCAGAAGTATGTTACTCGGCACAAGAAGAAGAAAGATGAAGAAGCAGAGAAGAAGAAAGAGGCAGATTCGAAGAGCAAAGTAGTGTAAGGTCTCTCGTTTCAGAGATTTTCTAGCCTCAAGATTCCAATTCTCAAAAGGAATCTGAGAGCAGAGGGAAGTCAATGAATCTTTGGTTTTTCAAAGTCTTGATTTGGTGGAAAGAGGTCATACATTGCATTCTGTCCAAGTGGGCTTGGTTTGACTAAACCAAGTTATACCAATCGGTTAGAAAATTAGAATAGAGAGGTCTATTTTTACAAGTTGATCACTTTACTAATTTAGTCGATTGTCAATAAATATCATCATTCAGTATTTGTAGTGGAGAACCACCAATGTATGGTCTTATGGTCTCTAAAAATTGGTAGAGAATTTGAACCTCTGTAGATTGGTTTAATACGTATTTGAAAATTGAGTTCTCAGATATCTAGACAAATCTTCATTGTTTAACTCTTTTTGTAGATTAGTATGCAATAGTTTCTCTAATTAAATGTTTTAAGAGAAAAAATCTAACAATATTATTATGCAATAGTTTCTCTAATTAAATGTTTGTAAGAGAAAAAAATCTAACATTATGATGCAATAGTTTCTCCAATTAAATGTTTTTAAGAGAAAAAATCTAACATTATTATGCAATAGTTTCTCTAATTAAATGTTTTAAGGGAAAAAATCTAACCTTATATATCAATGGCTTGGTCACTTTCAAAACCGAAACGGGTATTGTAATCTGGAACCCGACCATAAAAGAACATATAACCTTGCTTCAACCTAAAATCTCTAAGCACCTAAGATGTTTTTTAGGATATGACCCTAAAGAAAATACATATAAAATACTATCGAATGATTTTTGTAAGACATGGGAAAAATATCAAAAACCTAAGATTCTTACATTGGGATCTCAAGAATCATGGAGGGTGATAACAAATAGACCTGATCATTATCCTACACGTAGGTATTATTGCATCAACGGAGTTGTTTACTATAGAGCATATATATCCTACGAAGAATATCATAAAATTTACCCTCCGTTTATCAAAGAAATCGAGCTGGATATGAGATTGAACGAGATCATTATGAGTTTTGATGTGAGGTCTGAACAGTTCAAATCAATTCAATTACCTGCTCGTGCGAACCAATATGAATCAAAGCTTGATGAATCTCTGATGACTTACCAAGGAAAATTAGCATGGGTTTGCTATAATTCATATATGATCAAATTATGGGTTTTGCAGGATCTTGAAAAACAAGAATGGTCAAAAAATGAATTTGTTTTACCTAATTTGCCTCAAAGAGATTTGCTTGGGAGTGCTAAGTTAAGTGGTGCCACTAGTACTGGTGAGTTATCTATGTATCAGGAAAACTCTTTAAAGATATTTCTGCTTTTTATTATGATCCGGTGAGAGAGACTATCACAAGTGTCAATACACTTGAATATGAGAAATTTAGGTCATGTTATGGATCTAATAACGATGAGATGGCTTGTCTCCGATCTTATCCGAATCATATTGAAAGTCTCATATCTCTAAGGAACATCATGTGTTCACCCATTGTGTGATTATGTCTTTCATGTGTTTTAGACTTTTAGGTTTTGTTGTAATCTTTTTTTTTTTTTTTTTAATCTCGTTTGAGGGTATATTATATAGTGTGTCATATATTTCGTCTTCCGCATTATTCATACTATATCGAAATTATTGGTTTCTTACATTGCAAGTATTTATCTTTTCTATTGAACAAACGAAACAATTATGTTTTTGAAATTTGCTTTCAAAATGCCACGATCATTTAGATAATTAAGCAACTAAAATGCAAATAAAACCATTAAAGTTTGTTTTTGTTTCGTATGAACCCCAAATACTTAATTATTTCACAGAGCATCTCAATTGTGAGACGAAGAAACTTTGTTTTATAAATGCAATTAGGTAATGCTTTTTGAATCATGAGAAGTGAATTACAACATATGGAAAATGCTATAAAGAAAAGGGGTTCAACAATATTATTATTATTATTATTAATATCTGGAAGTTCAAGCCCGAAGGGCCTACATTTTAAATTCATCTCCTTTGGAGAAGAGATCCCTCCCAACGGGCATCGAACCCAGTACCTCCACCTGGGAGATTTACCACTGGGCCAACACAACGTTGGTAAGGGGTTCAACAATATTTACTTAAGAAGAAAACCAAAAAGCTTAACTAATTTTTTAACAACCAAAGAAAGGGTATTAACACAAAACTATATGAAGTAATTAAGCTGTAAATTTTGGTTCATGATGTCTCTTGAATTCTTCAAACTCGAGATACTATTAGTAACATCATCGCTAGTCAAATTCTTACACCCGAACAAGTTCATATACTCTAAATTCGAACATTGTTTACACATATAACATATTGGCTACCATTGGTTGGTGACTAGGCCTAAGATAATGTTAGTAGATCGCATGCGAATAGACGTTATGGTTGGTAGATCTATTAGCGGACTACACCTACGACAAAATGTTTACTTATAGAGTTCATGATAAGATATGTACAAACAGCGAAAGATTATGACCTAAGAAATGTTTTGGCTTAAAGCCCAAAATTTGGACAGAATACGAACAAAATAGATATGCAAACATAGTAACACTACACCAATAATTCAATTTCTTCTAACCCCAAAAAGAAATCTGATCAATGGATACACAATACAACTACAAACGTGAAGCAAAATTGCTTCACTGAGACAAGAGAAGTGGCTTCACTGAGACAAGAGAAGTGTAAAGAAACTCATCTTGATGACTTCTTTCGCCATTGGGTTCTCCCACGGTTGATCTCCTGACCATTTTCTGACAACCTCAAGATATGCAAGAATTGGCTCTCATTGTGTTCTTGTTTGCTTGACGTGGTAGATCCGTTGGTCCCAGTAAGCTTTGAGACCACCTCATTGGGGGTTTCAGAGGTGGTGAGTGAATCTACAATGTCATCTTGCTGGCATTCTCTTCTGTAATCTAGAGTTATAACTTTAAGCTCGTGCGTGTCTATGATTTCTTGCGGTATGCTCTGCCATTAACAAGGACCAAACACAAACTTATTAGTTAGCTCATCATAAATGGACATAAGGTTTGGCGGATATACTTAGTTACTCACCTCAAGGACCCATCCAATGTAGGTAACATTATTCACATGCTGGTTCATGTCTAGGTCAGCTCGTCTAGGCTTAAGCCCAAGCATAGAATACTGAGCTGGATCTTCCAGTTTCGGGATTTTCTTTAAGCTGCTATTGTTCTCCTCTGGAAACGCTAGTCTACAAAAATACAGAGAAGAAACTATTTAAGTGGCCTCGAAAAGAACTATTTTAAGTAAAACATGATTCGTCACCTAGGCTCTCGAGGACAGAAAACCAAGTACTCGTCCCGAACTTCGTCTGTAACTCTTTGAAGCCGCCTTGTGTCTTGGTTCATCATCACCCACTTGCTGAAACATTTGTTAAACAACAACTGTTCAAGAATATGCATAAATCTATATAACTAAATAAGCACCCATATGCCAGTTTCTGTAGCTACTAATGTCAAAACTACTAATACACAACCAATTCAGAAAGTTTGGTATAACAAGTTGAAAAGCCAAAACCTTGTAGCACGCCCGATAACTTCACCGGTCGCACAATCTTTCAAAATCCAATCACGTCTAGTTCCAATCCTTCCTTCACTCTGACACCAAGTCTCAATCTCAACCACATCACTCCTATAACCAAAACAAGAAAGCTTAAAACTTTCAACTCCAACCACAAAATCCTCATACCACTCAAAGCCTTACCAAGCTGGATACTTGTAAATCTCAATGTGCATTCTAGCAGTCACCCAAATGAGATGCAATTTCCTCATAGTAAGTGTTGTAGCAAACCCATCAGTCGAAAATCCAACTTTCTGAACATGATTACATGCCACTTCCTACACAAATTCATACTCAAAACATCAATCACACAGAGACATAACCAACTAAACAACCATTGCAACACACAAGAATCGTGTTTGGTATTGAGTACACACAACAAGACACAAAATCCCCAAACCTGCAAGAGATTAGCAATTGTTTCAACGGTAGCAGTTTTGTTAATCCCAACTTCATAGCTTCTAACAATGAACTTCTCCTTATAAGAAAACCCATCTTCCATCAATCGACCAAATCGGAGACGATCCGCCGGAGAAGTAACGGAAACAGAATCAGCAACACGGAGGCTGCTGTTTCCATGATCAGCAGAGAGAATTGCCCGTAAAGGTTCCTTCTTTAACTGAAAACAAGAGATGGGTCCGGTACGACGATGCACCGGAACAAAAATCCGGCGAGAATCGGAGAAAAAGTTGTGTAAGTGGTCAGTTACATTACACGAAAGCTTCAACATTTCTGAGTAGATTTCGAAAATTGAGAGATGGGTAATGGTTATTTTGGGAAAAGAATCAAAGGGTTTTTGTGTTTGTAGGAGAGAATCAAGGATTGGTGTTTGTATTTGTCGACGACGATGAGACCGAGGACAGTGGAAATTGAAAATTGGAAAATTTACGAGATTGCCATTGATTGTTGTTGGCCAATTGGCAAAGAGTAAAAGGGGGCATGTGTGGTGAATAAGAAAGCTCTCTGTTCGGTTTTTCTCACGTGACCTCTCCTCTTCACCTTTGTTTAAAAAATCGCTAGACGCTAGTCGGGCGGTGACGGTGGGCTTAACGCCTAGCAAAAAAATCGGAGATTAAACGGAGATTAATCGAGGACTAGTTTTAAAGCTATTTAATATTTTAAAAACATATTAATCTATTATAAATAAGAAATTTATATAATCTTGTTTTTAAAATTGCATTAAACACATGAAAACAAGAATTTAAGGTCAAACTTATGATTTTTATACAAATTATGAACATAAGTAAGACGTTTTAAATTTAAGATCCAAAAAAAGAAAAAAAATGTAAAAAAAAAAAAATTGGGCTAGGCGCCGTCTAGGCGGGCTAGGCGGACGCTTAGGCGGTCTAGGCGGACGCTTAGGCGGTCTAGGCGGACAAAAATCGGATCACCGATTTTTTTTACCGATTTGGACAAAATCGCCGCGGTCCCCACCCGATCAGCGCCTAGGCGGCTAGGCGGCCGATTTTTAGAACAGGGCTCTTCACTCACCTCTATCTTTATGACTTCCATGTTATAGTATTGACTCAATACGACAAAAAACAACAGAAGTTATTAATTATTATTATTTTTTTCATCTA